TTTTATAACTACAGCCCAGTGGTATCACCCAGACTTTTATGAATGTTGATGTGACTGGATAACGTACGTGCAATAAGATCCGTTTATTAACGTCATTTTTTTTTTTTGAGGCGTACAAAATTGATAAATTTACGTCATAATCTTTCGTTTGTTTGAAGTTAAGCACAAAGCTACATGATCGGCTATCTGTGCTCTGCCCACCACGGGTATCGAAAGCCGGTTTCTAGCGTTGTAAGTCCGCAGATATACCGCTGTGTTACTGGGGGGGGGGGCTGGGAGGCATCAAACTGCACAAACTTGAACACAATCAGTGCACCCCCTAGTAGGAGGTTATCTTGGTAAGTATTTTTCATCGTGTTATATACGTATATAGTGATTACACCTGTTAGGTGAGTAAATGATATCATACTAGTCAGATAAGGTTAAATGAACTCAATCTACAACTACAAAGACTGTTCACTTAGTGTTCTTACTTCGTCGTCACGAAGATAATGATTACCTATCAAAACATTACTTCCCCAAGCTCGAATCGAGTGCTTTGTAAATACTCTCGAACTAGATACAATTTTAATATAGTGTCACGTGTGTCTCGATAAAGAACTTTCGAAAGATTTTACGCTAACTGCTAATCTTTCCTTCATTATCAAACAATCAGCTTACCTAACCACCCACGTCTGTCTGTCTATACACACACACACACACAGCCGAGAAAGATTAGCTCTAGAGTAACTTCTAATGTAACGTTGTTCGTGGTGCTTAAATACGTATTCCATTTAAAGTAGAATTTTCTGTAAAACTGTGTACAAGGTATCACTTGATAGCGAGTGAATTAGGAGAACACTTATACATGGCCACTATTTACATATTATAGAACATGGGGGAGAGTGTGTGTGTGGGGGGGGGCTTAGGCTATACTTGATAGTGAGTGAAATAGAAGAACACTTATACATGGCCGCTATTTACATATTATAGAACATGGGGGGAGTGTGTGGGGGGCTTTCCCGAGTAATGGGCTATTTGTACAATATGGAGAATAAAGCTAATTAACCCGGGAAACAGAAATGATTTATTACTGTGGACATCTGGATATTTCGAGTTAGCGTTCTGTGTTTATTGTAAATATTCGTTTTCAGCACCAAGCGCTCGTGAGAAAGCTACGGGCTAGTCGTCTGTTGTCATTCTTTCCACTGCTTCTGTCAGATGTAATCGTTTATAACTGTTACGTCACGCTTCCTGGACCACATGTGTTTGACTAAGTCAGCCTGACGATCGATAACCTTGCTTCACTTAAACACAACAACCTTAGCTTATAGACTGGAAGGACAAGTTTCTCCTGTAATGGCACAGAAAAGGAACCTTTCAGAGGGTCTAACACGTGCAGGTTTATTCCAGACAAACAGTATAGTCTCGAGTTCCGCTGAAGGAAGACTGAGTGTATTTAGTATTTCAACCAATTATGGACGATTATTGTAGGCTAATGAACTTACGTAGAGGTTGATATTGTAGACTAAACAACCACAATCGACCAAAGTAGAGGTTGATATCATATCAACCACCTCATGAGTTGATGTTGAGAGCTAATAAACCATCATAAAGGTTGATAATGTGAAATAAACGACCACCTTGTGGGTTGATGTTGTGAGCTGATAAACCACTATAAAGGTTTATATTGTAACAACCACCTTAACGGTTGTTGTTGTGAGATAAACGACCACCTTGTGGGTTGATGTTGTGAGCTGATAAACCATTATAAAGGTTTATATTGTAACAACCACCTTAACGGTTGTTGTTGTGAGATAAACAACCATCTTGTGCATTGATGTTGAGAGCAAATAAACCATTATAAAGGTTTATATTGTAACAACCACCTTAACGGTTGTTGTTGTGAGATAAACAACCATGATAACGGTTGATTTGCGAGTTAATCAAAACTCATAAAGGTTGATGTTGTGAGAAAAATAACCACACTGGGGGGGGGGGTTGTTACTGCGGGTTAGAACAAATAAACTTTTGAGTTATTTTCATTTATATTGCTCGTTAAAGGAATTCACTCTGGTTTGAGGTTACGGGCTGATTATTCTATTAAGGAGTGAGTAGGTACATAGGAAAGTCTGGGAAGGTTTCTGTTTAAACTATGTCATTTGTTACTATCGTGAATATATAGCACCATGACGGGGTTGTACCGTGACAACTGATTATCTTCGTCTTCACGTTCTTTCGAAACTTTTAACTTCAATTAGCTGTATGTGTTTAATTCAACGCATATAATTTATGCACGGATATATTTCTTTATTTAATTCAACGCATTAATTTATACTTAATATTTGGAACTCTAATATCTTTTAAGTTGGAAATCAACCACAACGAGACAGTTTTTTTGTTGTTGTTTTTGGGCGCTGTAATTCTCAAAAGCGTAATACTTCCAAACTTGCAGTCTTCTGAATGGTGGGCACAGCACAAATATCCCATTGTGTAGTTTCGTGTTTAATAGTAATCAAACAATATAGGCCCAGGTTTGTGTCACTTGAAAGCATGTACCACAATAAGGTAAGTTGAAACAGTTACAGTTGTCAATCGGAAAAAAAAAGACAATTTATTTCTTCGTTGGTCAAACAGGTTGGTGGTAGCTGGCAAGAAGATTTCTTGAAACAACATCAAATAAACCACATGATTACCAGATATCGCCACCAGATGCCCGGGCTAAGCGGCAGGGGGCAAGAAGATTTTCTAAAACATCACCAGCTAAAGCATCTGCTATTACTTATCGCCACCAGGCATTTCTCAAGAAGATTTTTTTTGAAACAGCACCAGCTAAGCCACCTGCTACCACGTGTCGCCACCGGATGTTGCTCAGGGTTGGTGGTAGCTGGCAAGACAGTTTGCTGAAAGAACACCTGCTACCAGGAGTCGCCACCAGATGTTGCATAGGCTTGACGGTAGCTGACAAGAAGATTTTCTGAAATTGCTAAGTTTCTTAAATCATACGATAATTCAAGAATTAAGAGATCAAAGATCGTCATACTTGTCACGTTACGATTCTTTATTAATTATTTTGTAAACGAGATACCTTGAGGTCGAAGATGAGTGACCTTAAAATTACTTAATCGTAACAGCAGGTCAGATGTAAAAAGAAGTCGAAAAAATTGCACAAACATATACATTCTCGAACGTATCAACAAACACAAAAATGTATAATGTATGAGTCAGCATTTTTTAAAGTCTCTCGAGTAATTATTTAGAAAAAAAAAAGATCCGCTAAGTCTTTCATTGGAAAAGATGTCGTTTAAACCACTTACGATTGGTCGACTGCAGAGAGCAAAGCGTGTGTTAGCACCACTGTCGAATGGCAACTAGTTGGATTACAGTTAAATAGTTGGATTACAGTTGTATAGTTGGATTACAGTTATATAATTGGATTACAGTTATATAGTTGGATTACAGTTATATAGTTGAATTATAGTTATATAGTTGGATTACAGTTATATAATTGGATTACAGTTATATAATTGGATTACAGTTATATAGTTGATTTACAGTTATATAGTTGATTTACAGTTATATAATTGGATTACAGTTATATAGTTGATTTATAGTTATATAATTGGATTACAGTTATATAATTGGATTACAGTTATATAGTTGGATTACAATTATATAGTTGGATTACAGTTATATAATTGGATTACAGTTATATAATTGGATTACAGTTATATAGTTGGATTACAATTATATAGGTGGATTACAGTTATATAATTGGATTACAGTTATATAGTTGGATTACAATTATATAGTTGGATTACAGTTATATAATTGGATTACAATTATATAGTTGGATTACAGTTATATAATTGGATT